AGGTGTGTGTCTCTATCCAGTTCCGATGTGACAGATGTGTGTCTCTATCCAGTTCCGATGTGACAGATGTGTGTCTCTATCTAACTGGATAGAGACAGATGTATGTCTCTATCCAGTTCTGGTGAGACAGGTGTGTGTCTCTATCCAGTTCCAGTGAGACAGGTGTGTGTCTCTATCCAATTCTGGTGAGAGAGGTGTGTGTCTCTGTCCAGTTCCGATGTGACAGATGTGTGTCTCTATCCAGTTCCGATGTGACAGATGTGTGTCTCTATCCAGTTTCGGTGAGACAGATGTATGTCTCTATCCAGTTCCGGTGAGACAGGTGTGTGTCTCTATTCAGTACCAGTGATACATGTGTGTGTCACCTTCCAGTACCTGTGAGACAGGAATGTTGGTTTGTCCAGTACTTCCGTGAGACAGCTGTGTGTCTAGTAGGTGAGACAGGTGTTTGTCTCTATCCAGTACTAGTGAGACAGGTGTGACTCTATCCAGTTTCAGAACTTAAATATTTAGCCCGATTTGTCAAGGTTACTTCACTGTTGAGCCTAAGTGGACAAGGTTAGTTGAAAGTTGTTCCAGAATTGACAGGTTTAGTTGATAGTTGAGCCTGAGTTGACAAGGTAAGTTGATAATTGAGCCTGAGTTGACAAGATTAGCTGATAGTTGAGCCTGAGTTAACAAGGTTATTTAACTGTCGAGCCTGAGTGAACAGGGTTAGTTGAAAGTTGAGCCAGAGTTGAAAAGGTTACTAAACTGTTGAGCCTTAGTGGACAAGGTTAGTTGATAGTTGAGTCTGAGTTAACAAGGTCAGTTGAATGTTGTGCATGAGTTGACAAGATTAGCTGATAGTTGAATCTGAGTTTACAAGGTTATTTAACTGTCGAGCCTGAGTGGACAAGGTTAGTTGAAGTTGAGCCAGAATTGACAGGTTTAGTTGATAATTGAGTCTGAGTTGACAAGGTAAGTTGATAGTTGAGCCTGAGTTAACAAGATAAGTTGAAAGTTGAGCCTGAGTGAACAAGGTTAGTTGATAGTTGAGCCTGATATAACAAGGTTATTTAACTGTCGAGCCTGAGTGAACAAGGTTAGTTGAAAGTTGAGCCAGAATTGACAGGTTTAGTTGATAATTGAGTCTGAGTTGACAAGGTAAGTTGAAAGTTGAGCCTGAGTTAACAAAATAAGTTGAAAGTTGAGCCTGAGTTGACAAAATAAGCTGTTATTTGAGCCTGAGTTGACAAGGTTATTTAACTGTCGAACCTGAGTGAACAAGGTTAGTTGAAAGTTGAGCCTGATATAACAAGGTTATTTAACTGTCGAACCTGAGTGAACAAGGTTAGTTGATAGTTGAGCCTGATATTACAAGGTTATTTAACTGTCGAGCCTGAGTGAACAAGGTTAGTTGAAAGTTGAGCCAGAATTGACAGGTTTAGTTGATAATTGAGTCTGAGTTGACAAGATAAGTTGAAAGTTGAGCCTGAGTTGACAAAGTAAGCTGTTAGCTGAGCCTGAGTTGACAAGATTATTTAACTGTCGAGCCTGAGTGAACAAGGCTAGTTGAAAGTTGAGCCTGATATAACAAGGTTATTTAACTGTCGAGCCTGAGTGAACAAGGTTAGTTGAAAGTTGAGCCAGAATTGACAGGTTTAGTTGATAATTGAGTCTGAGTTGACAAGGTTAGTTGATAGTTGAGCCTGAGTTGTCAAAGTAAGCTGTTAGTTGAGCCAGAGTTGACAAGGTA